TTTTTACTCCTTTTATGGTCTGGTGTTTCAGGCATGGTGGCTGGTAGGTACCTGTAGCTTTAAGGTAGGGAGAGAAAGACTCAAGGCGAGTCTAAAAGTCAAGTTAACCCTATATTATGAGACTATATTATAGTTTTGGCAAACCATTTTCAAATGATCAACATGTCTACATGCAAAGCCAAATAGAGTCTGACCCTGTTATGCTCGAATTCGGGACCCCCAAAGACCACCAGAGACCCAAGATCGATGTAAGCAGCAAAGAGGTGTTTATTTCGAGCTAGCTCAGTCCTCTGTGCACACACACAGCAACTGGTGACGCTGAGAGGCCCAGAGCCCAGGGTTTGCAGCAGTTTTATACATTCTTTGGAGAGGGCAGGGACTTCACATACATCATAGCCTCTTTTAGCAAATCATAACACACCTCGGGAAAATCAAATAACAACTCTAAAACATGATTAGCACATTCACTGGTGGGAACAAATTGGGTAGGGGTGATTGGTCAGTACAAAAGGGGTATTCATTTGAACTGATTGGTTTAAGCCAAGAGGGGAGTACGAGCTGARCTACATGGTTTCCCAACATGTTATCAACCACCATAAACTACTGGGAGGGTCATCTGGCATCCCAGGTATTTCCCTGTCTCATGCTGATTGGTGGCTGCTAGGGGGCTGCTATGGRTCCCCACCTAGCCTGACTGAGTCAGGGACACCTGGCGCAGCAGATCTCTCCTGTTATTTGTAGATAAACAACTTAGCAGGGTGGGAATGTGCCTAGGAGTGCTCTGTGGGTCTTTCCAAGGACAAAGGCCATGTCCCTTCCTTGGACAGGCTTTGCTCTGAAATAGAGGCTGGTTTTTCAACCCGCACGTTAAGGCTGCAGAACAGACAAACTTCCTGTGAAGACAGACCCACTCTARCCATCCCGTGGGCCCAAGCCAAGGATCAGCATTCCTTAGTCCCAGAAAACTAACCCAGGCAACTATCACCACCATCGTGACTGTGTGAAGCAAGTGAAAGATTAACATTATGTTGCCCAGCTATGTGACCAGAAAAATTAGTGATTTTTAAGTCAATTAAGAGAAAGTRAAGCTAGAGGGTTTATTTAGGTTTTTCGGGGTAACACTCCTTGCTTCTATCTTGATGTAACATTTTCATAATGATCTGGAAGGTCAGATTGACAGGAAATTCTTGGACACTCAGAGATCAACACCAAGAGATGGTGACATGGGAAGAGTTCCTGACCCATTCACCGCCTGCCTCCCTTCTCTTCGCACCTGCAGCTCTTCCATTGAAAAAGAACTTCACACATCCCCAAGTAGACACCCCAGCAGCCTACCTCTCTGAACCGTGTCCTTTCTTCCCACAAACACCACCTGTTGGCAAGCCTTTGGATATGCTTGGCCCTTGGAAGCTGAGATCTAGATGAGACACCTGGAAGGAGTTCAGGGCTGGCTTCAGAGGGGATTCTGGGGAAAACAGGTRCAGGTGGCCTATCTTCCCACATCCTCCTCCTGCTGTGGGAGAGGGCCTAGGGAGGCTGGCATGGAGCCCTCAGAGCAATCCTGGATCTAAAGGGGTCCTGTTATGTCTCATGTTCAAACCAGAGTGATACCTAGTGTTCCTATAGTACCTTAATCTGAGTGTGTCAGAACTGAATTGAATTGTAGGACACCCAGTTTGTGCTGCAGAATCGTTCCTGTGGGGAAAACCCCACACATTTGGTGTCAAAATGTCTTGAGTGTGGCAATGAATATGGAAAGAAAACAATGTTTTTTCCTATCTTAGTGTGAGAAGCCGTTCTTGCACGTGATTAAGCTACCTCCCTGACTGGGTGTGAGGCGCTCAGACCAGCTGTGTCAGAGCCTTCCCCACCCTTTCCAGGTGCGAGGGCTTGTCCATGTGGAGGTGTGACTGACCATTGACCTGGAAACCAATCACTGATCCTGACCTTGGAATGCTGTCCCCCTAGACCTTCATTGGATAGAACTTTCCCAAGTTTTTTGTTCCCCAATAAAAGCCCACTCTCTGGCGTGCTTCTTCCTCTCTCCTGCTGGTCTCTTGTGTAAACCTCGCTACCACATCAGGTGGCTAGAGGTAGGAGCCGGGAGAAGCCGTCTCTTAACTGGGCAAGAAAAAGGTAAATTGAATTTTAGGTGTCTTTAATTTGATTTCACTAGTTAACTTCTATGTTTAGAACCTCTAGTATGAAGGTAGCGTGCTAGTCGCGCGGCAGATTTGCACCCACGAGGGAGCATATTAGGCTCCTTGTTTTCCTGGTTCAAGACTACTTGCTTCTGTGCATACAGGAAGTAAGTTCACCATTGTGCACCTGCACGAACAGAGGACCACCTAGACAGATGGACTTGGACTGTAAACAGGTGGTAGCACAAAGGTGAGCAGTTGCCATGTACCAAACACCCCGATAAATGTTTCAGACACAGCTTTCCTCAGTGTCCCCCGAGGCAGGAACTCCCATCTTCATCCTACAGATGAGGACAGCAAGGTGGACAAGAGAGGGGGCCAGAGGCAGCGGTTGTAACCAGCCTGCAGAAAACCTCAATCTTAATGCTGTGTGTGTGTGTGTGTGTGTGTGTGTACTAGAGACTGACCCAAGAGCACTCTACCTGTCAGCTACATGACCAGTACCTTAAAAAAGTTCTGAAGGCTGGGGTTATAGCTCAGTGGTAGAGTGCTTGAAGCATAGCACGTGTGAGGCACTGGATTTAATTCTTGGCATCACATAAAATCAGTAAATAAAATAAAGGTCTTGTGTCCATCAACAACGAAAAATATTTTTTTAAAAAAGTTTTTGAGACGGGATTTCATTAAACAGGTTTCAAACTTGCAATCCTCCTGCTTCAGCCTCCCAAGTAACTGGGATTACAGGCACGCACCATGGCACCCAGCTCTCTTATGCTATTTTGCCTCAATCAGAAGATAAACAAAGTCACTTCCATCCTACTACTGAAGGCCTCAGGTCCCCAAATTAACTTCCCTGTCCCCTCATCCCAATACAAAGAAGGTTCTCAGCCTCACAGAGACAAAACACTGGCCTAAATGCCACTGTGCTTGAGGCTGCAGAGGACGTGTGGAAAAGCAACTTTCATAAACACCTGGATACGAACTAGACTGCAGAAAGCACTGGGGGTGCAGGCAACTTGGCAGTGGCCGARCAGGTGGGCCATCTGCTTCCGATGCAGCTGCCTATGCCATTCCCAGGAAGGCAACCTGAACGGCCTCTGCTCTAGCCCTGAGCACTCGGGATTCCTTCCTCACTCAGCTGTCTGACGGTGTCACCACTCTGCTTCAAAGTCACAGAGATCTGTCCCCTGACTTCTCACACAGCAGAAGTTCTCAGCTACAGGCAGAGAAGATGGAGGCTCCCGTTGGGCCCTCTCCAGCCTCGACCTTGTCGAATGCTCCTGATTTGCAGAAGTCCCTGCTGGACTGGGTGGAAAAGAAAGTCCAAATTCCACAGAGAATTCTGGACCATCTTGAAAGCCCTCTCTGGTTAAGTGATGTCTCTCCCTCCCCATGGTTTCCTGCTCAACTCAGACGTGCCCTCCTCTTGAAAAATGCAATGCTGCCCTCCTTGGTATGTGTGCCCTCCAAACATGTCCTGCTGCTGCCCCTCCATGGGCAAACAGCTCCTGGACCTTGGCTTATGGTCTGACAACCACAAGAAGGTCCCAGCCTAGTTCTCAATGTGCCTCATTTATGCATCCTCGGACAGGGCCAGAGGCATCAGTGGAGCCGGGGAACTGTATTTTGTGGGGGACTGAACCCAGGAATRCTTTACACTGAACTATATCTCCAGCTCTTTTTATTTTTGAGACSAAGTCTTAGTGGCTTTGGACTTCACGGAGTTGCTAAGCTGGCTTCAAACTTGTGACCCTCCTGTCTCAGCCTGTCACCTGATCATAGGTGTGGTCCCTGTACCCACCAGGGCAACTTTCACTTAGCATTTCAGGATGACATTCCTGAACCCCACTCCACCACAGACAATACAACTGTCTCTTTTTATTGCTCTAGAGAGCCGCCTGACATTTTCTTGCAGGAGCCAGGCCTCCCTTCCGCAGGGGAGAACCAAATAAAGAATTTGCCTATGTATATGCACTCCCATGACTTGATTTTAATTCTATTTTCATCCCACCAAAGTTCCCAGTGTCCAGCATCACTGAAAAAAGATCCACCATAAATTATAAATGTGAGTTATCAATTTTTAAATTCTGGCATCCCTTAATCTCTGTGGGAAGTTCCTAAAACTGAGTGCCAACCAAAAATACCTGGAATGTTGGCACACTCATCCAGGACACAAGCATAGGCCTCTCACAGACCTGCCTGGTTAGCTTTCCAGCACTGTAACGAAATGCCTGAGATCATCAATATAGAGAAAAGACTGGTTTTGGCTCAGTTTTGAAGGTTTCAGTCCAGTTGGATCATGGCTGGTTGGGCTCATGGCTCTGGGCCTGTGGTGAGGCAGCAAGTGGCAAAGTAAAACCATTTACATCACAAACCAGGAAGCAAAAAAGAAAGAGGAGAGAGACTGGGCTCCCACAATCTTCTTCAAGGGCGCACCTCTCACTAGGCCCCACCACCTCCCAAGGTGCACCCTGGTGACCACTGAGCCCTCAGCACGGGCCCTGGGGAACACTTATTCAAACCATAGCAGTGCCCTTAGCCACTGGAGTCGCCGTCTGACATGAACTGCAACTCAAGGCCCACACAGGCCAGAAGCACAGTCCCAGCAAGCCACAGCACTCTGTGGTGAATCACCCTCATGCCTGGTGCAGTGGCACACGACTGTAATCCCAGTGGCTCAGGAGGCTRAGGCAGTAGGATCTCAAGTCCAAAGTCAACCTCAGCAGCTTAGCGAGGCCCTAAGCAACTCAGTGACACCCTGTCTCTAAACAAAAAAATATTTTAAAAAGGGCTGGGGATATGGCTTAGTGGTTAAGCATCCCTGGGTTCAGTCCCTGGTACCAACAACAACAACAACAACAAATCACTCTCGCATGCTGCTCCAGGAGCCTCTGCCTGCTAAGCCCTGACCATGGAAAACCACCCTTCTTCAGAGGGCAGCAGACATGCTCAGCCACAGAGTCATGGACATCAGGAAGGTGGACRCAGGGCCATGGAGAGACAAAGGGGATGTACTGAGCCAGGGCTCTGTAACACCCACAGCCTCCCCTGCTTCCCTCTCTTCCTAAACCACGGCGTCTGTTATGGAGTACTTTGGTACTTTGGTATCCTGGGATTAGGAGCAGGGCACTGCCGACAGGGTGGACTGTCATAGACTCGAAGCCCTCCTCCCTTCTCTGTGGCACCTGTGGAGCTTGACCAAAGCACCAGAGAGTTTCTGGGTAYCTTGGAGGTGCTCTATTTTTTTCTTCAATCTAGCTACAATGAAAAGACAATAAAAATATTAGTGCAGAAAATTCTGTAAAGGCACACTTTAAGCTTCATCATAGATTGTGTTTATTACAATTTATGGAGGGGGTGGGACACTGAGCACGTGCTCCCTCGTGGCACCAGGTCTGGCTCTGCAGTCTGCATGGTGAGTGGTCAAAGTGTTGATTCCCCTTCCTTCTCGCTGGGGCTGGTGCCCAGGCAGCCCTGCAACACACAGCGCAATGGCCAGCCTCAGGCACGATTCCGAGGCAAACTGGCTCAACTCTCCTTACGTGCACATTCAGACCTCAGGATCCATGGTTTCTCCATGCATGGATCCAACCACTCCAAGTCAAAGATATTTTTTAGAAAACAATAAAAAACAACAATTCAACAATAGCAAAAAAATAATGCAAATTTTAAAACAAAATATAACAACTATTCATGTAGCATTTACRTTGTATTAGGTGTTATAAGAAATCTAGAGATGCGAATGAATACAGGAGGATGTGTAGCTTATTCGCAAATATTATCCATCTTATATAAGGGATTTGAACATCCTCAGATTTGGGTATCCTAGCAGGGCTGGTCTTGGAATGAATCCCCCAAAGATACTGAGGGACAACTGTATACAACAGTTGAAAAACTTCCAGGGGACGCTAATTGTAAGGCAGGCAAAAATCTTAAATATTTTCTCTTTACTTCAAAAATGGAAGATGCTTAATTTGCATACATAGAAAATGYTTCAGATAAGTTCCACTCCTTAGTCATTCTTTGTCAAATTCACACAGCCCACGGTTGAGAGCATAAAGGGAGTGAGGTTTACTGGCTCCTTCACCAAGCAGCAGCATGGTGAGGAGTTGTGCAATGCTGCATGAGTACATTCTCTCATCTGCAGGTTCTCCATGACATGGACACCGTAACAGGCCCCAAGAGAACATTTCCAAGCACACTCAGAGCAGAGGTGGGCAGCACAGGTTGGTCAGTTCATGACTGCCCTAGTTCTCACAGGACATGTGGTCAGGGCAATTGCTACTTTGGGAGGTTTTTCCAYCTATACTGAAAAAGACAAATTAGAATGCTCGCATTCAAACTCCTTGAGAATGGTCAGATACGAGCACAAATAATGCACTCATCCAAGGAGAAAATTTTTCTTGGCGGTTTTTTTTTTCTAAATTTAATACTACTACAGAAAATCTCTTCAAATGAATCCCTTTTCAGGAAGGAACCTGCTTCCTGTGTGCGAGCAGGCACCAAGATAGCTGAGGAGCAAGCACAGCATGCAGGATGTCAGCAGCAGGCCCTGCTCAGGGGGGTTCCACAGGATGCTAGTCTCTGAGCTTGGCTCAAAATGCCTCATCACTGGCAAGGAGCTACTGTGAGAAATGCTGGTAAGCCACTGAGGCTTTTTGAATCAGAACAGTCTCCTCATCAGCAAATATCATTGTGAGGAATTATTTTGGCCCAACTGTAAGTAACACCATGTTTTTTAAACTACATGAAATTTCTTTTCTTTTTTCTGGGGGGGGGGAGGGCACTAGGGATTGAACTCAGGGGCACTCAACCACTTAGCCACATCCTCAGCCCTGTTTTGTATTTGGGGCACAGCCTCACTGAGTTGCTTACTGCCTCACTTTTGCTGAGGCTGGCTCTGAAGTTGCAATCCTCCTGCCTCAGCCTCCCAAGCCACTGGGATTACAGGCATGCACCACCGTGCCTGGCAAACTATATGAAATTTCTTTTTTTTTTTTTTTTTTTTTGAGAGAGAGAGAGAGAGAGAGAGAGAGAGAGAATTTTTAATATTTATTTTTTAGTTATCGGCGGACACAACATCTTTGTTTTGTATGTGGTGCTGAGGATCGAACCCGGGCCGCACACATGCCAGATGAGCGCGCTACCACTTGAGCCACATCCCCAGCCCATGAAATTTCTAATAGAAGACATTGCAAAAAGAAAGTACTGTTTTTACCTTGGTAAACAGTTTCTCTTTTGACACATTATATGTGTATATACCTATACACATATACACACACACTCACATACATATATGTGGGTATTGGGATTGAATCAGGAGTGCTCTGCCACTGCACTCCATCCCCAGTACTTTTTATTTTTTGTCTTGAGATAGAGCCTCACTAATTTGCTGAGGCTGACCTTGAACTTGTGTCTCATTGCCTCAGCCTCCCAATTTGCTAGGATTACAGATATGCATCACTGTGCTCAATGACACATCATATTTCTTTTAAAGTTTTTACCCCTCCACTGAAGACTCTATAGAAAAAATTTCTTTTTCGTCTGAGAGCTGGAGGATATTCCTTTGCTTTCAGATCCAATGACAAAGTTCCCTCATTTTCACTTTCGTTGATATCCCTGAAGCATCCAGATTCGATGATCTGCACACACAGAAGAGAGCACAGAGAAGCTGCAGAAACACGTAAGGTCAGGGGTCCCCCAGAGCCATTTGCCCCTACCCGTACCCATGCTTGATGTGGGGCACCTCAGAGCTCCTCAACCCATTCTGGTTCCCTTTCCCAGACTCCTCTTCCCTGTTTCCTGATCACTTCTTGGAACAAGTGTTGTGGCCTCTTTTCTTCCTCTCTKAGTGTGCCACCAGAGGAGTTAATACCACGGCTGTCAGCACCCTGCTTAGGGAGCAGGACTCCAGGACGGCAGGCAAGCCACTGTGATGGCTGCCTCCTATACACTTCTTTACTGTGACTTACTTCTGGGTAACTGCCAATATGGTCTTGGCTTGTCCATGGTCTAGTCACAGAATTAAATGCCTGGCATAAATTCACCTTCCAAATATGAATAAATGTGAGCATGCAAGCACCCACACCCACACCCACTTCTGTCACTATTGGAAGTAGCATAAACCTGCTCTGCTGGAAAGGGTAGTACCTCAGTCTGCCAGGGGATGGAGACACACCCAGTAACAAATTGAGCGTAGAAGCTGTCATCTGTGGTGTCCAGGTAGACTCCTTTCACTGCAGAGAACCGTCCAATATCCACGACATCCTTACAATAAATGGCATGAGGCTGTGCCCCAAGAACAGAGAAAGGCATCAGCTCGTGAGATGAGTGGAGTAATCCTTAGCTCCCTTAATCACAAAGAACGAAGGCATGCAAAACCCATATTTAAATGTCACCAGGCTGGGGTGTACTGGCGCACGTGTATAATGGCTCTATAACGTGAGCTGTCTCTGTGGTCTTGTTTGCTTAAGGTGAGGACACAGGCAGTCTAGGACTACCCCAAGCCCCTGACCTACATGTTCCCCAACCCTTCTCAGAACTATGGAAATGGTCCCTCCTCAGAGACTGCTGGCAGCCTGCCTTCCCTGTTCCTGACCCTAAGCAGTCCACCTCTCCAGACCAGATGGCCCATCTGAGGTCCTTGTCATGGACTCCTGTCAGATGATGCTGTTCCAAATGTGCTGGTCAGCCTGACCTACTGCTTATCTCTGCAGAGACCTTGCCTGTCTTGTTCTCCCTGTGCCTTAATACCTATAGCGCTGACTGGCAGGTAGTGGGCATTTGTTAAATATGTCACACGGGAATCAATTCCAAGGAAGCTGTAACATATAATGTGAAGATAAAGACACAAAGCAAGTCCTGAGCAAGTCCTACTACTAGTAAAAATATTTTAATCATACACCTATCTCTACTCCACCAACCCTACAACACTTCCTCGCCTTCATGTTTCTAGAGGGTCTGTAGCAGGCTGTTCAGGATAGAGTTGAAGCTGCTTTTGCTCTGAGTTTATTTTATAAAGAATATGGTTACCTACCTGTCTTCCTGTCCTGCCCTAAATGATCTTGCCACCAGACCCCTCCCATGACCTGGCCCTGCCCACTGCCTGCCAAAAGTAACTAACTCCTCCCATGGCCTGGCTCTGCTAAGGCTGTGTATAAAGTCCCGAACCTTGTGGCCAGAAGCTATTTTATCCCTGAAAGTGAGCCATATCAGGTACTTAAACAATTGACCCCACCACTGAATAAAGAGAAGTCTGCTGATCTGAAATCTGCTCCCCGCCTCCGCCATTTGTGCACTCATGTGCTTACTTACACTTATGCTGTGCTGGATTCCCACAGGCCAGTGCCCTGCCCTATGCTAAGCACTTTGGAGACATGATATCATTTGATACCAACAGCATGCCCAAAAGGAGGCACGGTGACAGCTCCAGGGTCCTCAGGGTGGGGCCCGGCTATCATCCCAGGACCTTATGAAAACTGGAGGGGGGACTTATTCCAGACTGAAGTAGCAGGAGGGCACTGCTTGGGAGAAAGTGAGTGCAGGACAAGAGGTAAAACCGACCCAGAGCAGAACAGGGACCTGTGTAACAGGGAGGGCCTGGAAGGGCAGGCCAGGGAGGTCTGAGGTGGTGGTGAGGTGTCTAAGGGCAGGGCTTGGCTGCACCAGCAGTGACAGCAGACCCCAGGCCCTGGAGTTAGAGAGTTGCCAGGAAGGTCTATGAGTGGCTGAGGGGGCTGGGAGTGAGGAAGGAGGTTGCAGCAGACAGGACCTGCCCCACAGAGCTGAAGCCACACCATGACGGCATCAGATACTGTATCTGTTTGGGATCAGTGTTCTCAGACACCAGCTCCTGAGGGCAGCGTACTTACATCAGGGCAGAAAGGTGGGTCCAACATGTTTGCCTCCAGTCTGCTGAAGCTGATGTTCTTGAACACCGGGTGCTGCTTCACTCCTGCAGCCCCCTCGCCCCTGCAGCCCAGCCGCTCACTTGGATTCTTGGTGAGTAGCTGCACAAGAGGCAAAAATGGGTCAACTTAAGCTCCTAGGATAAAAACAGAAACTCAAGACAGACTCCATAATAACCAAGGAGCCAGGGACAGCAGAAAGCACATATGTGTAAACACAATCACTTCAACCTCAAAGTAACATTGTCTACCAAACCACATGAATTCTGACCACAGGATGCTTCCCAAAAGRCAAAACTAAAATTTTGCCTTTGAGTTACCAGTAAATGAGGGTTTGGCTACATTAACCCTTAAGTTAAAATATTTATGTCATAAGGGATTTTTTTTGAAAGGAAATAAAACAGTTGAGAACTTCAGAAACACCATTTTAATACTAAATTATATTTATAATTAGAAATCACTTTAAATCTATTCATTAAATCAATCAGCTAACTAAGGTTAAGGCAAAAATTCAGCAAACCTGGTTCTAGAAACTGTATATTCTTAAAACTAATAAAAGTGTCTCTTTCAATAATGTATAAATTCATATGTGTTTGCCACTGTCACAAATTCAAATAATCCACAATTACTATCAAATCTAGAAAGGATAGGCTGCTGGGGGTGGTAGTCCCTATAGTCCCAGGTACGTAGAAGGCTGGAGCAGGAGGATGGCTTGAGCCCTGGGGTTCGAGACCAGCCTGGGCAACACGGCAAGAACCCTGTCTCTTATATTAGAACCAATAAGCAAAGGGCTGAGGTTGTAGCTCAGTGGTACACCACCTGCCTTGCACTGTGAGAACTGGGTTCATTCCTCAGCACCACATAAAAATAAAAATAAAAGGTACTGTGTCCACCTACGACTAAAAATATTAAAAAAGAAAATGAAGAGAAAAAGAAGGAGCCAGACACTGTGGCACATGCCTATAATCCCAGCAACTCAAGAAGCTATGGTAAGAGGATTGCAAGTTTGAGGCCAGCCTCAGCAATTCAGTGAAGCCCTAAGCAGTTCAGTGAGAGCCTGCCTCAAAAAATAAAAAGGGCTGAGGACGTGGCTCAGTGAAGTGTCTCTAGGTTCAATTTCCAGTACAAAAAAGAAAGAAAGAGGGCTGGGGATGTGGCTCAAGCGGTATCGCGCTCGCCTGGCATGCGTGCGGCCCGGGTTCGATCCTCAGCACCACATACCAACAAAGATGTTGTGTCCGCCAAGAACTAAAAAATAAATATTAAAATTTCTCTCTCTCTCCTCTCTCACTCTCTCTTTAAAAAAAAAAAAAGAAAAAGAAAGAAAAGATTAGGCCATTCTAGCAACACATTAAAAATCTGGAATGTTAGTACAGCCTAGACCAAGGGTTGGGGAGCTGCAGCCCAGGGCCACATCCCACCAGCTGTTTCTGTGAATTAAGGCTTTACTACCACATGGCCAAGCCATGCTTACTCGGGCTTACAGATGCTGGGCACTGCAGTGGCAACATTGAACCCAATGTGACGGAGACCTGCAGAGCCCGGGGGGCATCTACTTAGGGCCCCACACAGACTCCAAAACCTGATGCCCAGCACTCACAGCTCTTCTGAACAGAAATCCAAGTCTCCACACCCAGCTCATCTGAAAGGCTCCAGCTCCCACCCTGGACCTTCAGCCTCATATTCTTTGTTTCTATCTATTTATTTATATTGATTTTTTTTGAACACACGACAGTGGAATGGATTACAATTCTTATTACCCATATAGAGCACCATTTTTTATATCTTTGTATGTAAAGTATGTTCATGCCAATTCCTGTCTTTATTTACACATGTACTTTTTTTTTGCATTACAATTCTTATTATGCATATATACCACAATTTTTCATATCTCTGTCTATAAAGTAGGTTGACACCCAAATCGTGTACATGTACTTTGGATAATGATGTCCCTCACATTCCACCATCCTTGCTAATCCCCTGCCCCGTCCCTTTCCCTCCCACCCCTCTTCCCTATCTAGAATCTAATCCCCCCCAAAACAAATGCTGAATGTTTTCTCTGATCTAAGGAGGCTGACTCATAATGGGGTGGGGAGGGGGAGCATGGGACGAACAGATGAATTCTAGATATTCTTTGTTTTCCCTCCTCAGACTTGTGTACCCAGGCCTGTGTCTAGAAAACCACCCTGCAGAGTCATGAACTCCACAGGCCCCAGCTTCCTCCTGCTCCCTGCTCCCCGGCCCACACTGGATCAGGCTCCCCTCCTCTAGCAGGACAGCCTCAAACATCCTCTATTTTTCCTTTACCACAGTTGTGAATTAATCCTTTGGCTAATTGTTTACTGCCAGTCTACGATGCTTCCTGAAGCTGAGACTGTGTGACTCTCTTGCCTACTGCTGTGTCCCCAGTATCTTAGAGCAGGTGCTCAATAAAAATTGCTCAGTGCATTTACTCTTTGCATGCTTTATTAATCTGACATACACCTGAAAATTAAGTGTAATGCTAAATACAATTCCTACATTTCAGAGATTTTATGACTCCATTATCAAGCCTGCTACTGACACATACCAGTTGAACACCATGGATGGCCTAAATATCTTTGTCCCCTTAAAACTCATATGTTGAAACTTGATCTTCTTTGTGAAGTGTTAACAGGAGGTAATTATATCAATTGTGAATGGGATCAGTGTGTCCTTGTTAGAGAGGTTCCAAGGAGCTTGTCTGCCCCTTCCACCCTGTGAGCAATCAGAACACACCAGCGATGAACCCTCATCAGACACCTAACCTGCCTGGCAGCACTTTGATCGTCGACTTCCCGGACTCCAGAATCGTAAGAGTAAGTTTCTGTTATCATACATTACCCACGCTTAGGGATTTTGTCATGGTAGTCCAAGTGTACTAAGACATGGCCGACCAGGCAGCAGAGGGCAGAGGACAAAGCCCGGCACAACTGCTCCTGCTGCCACAGTGTGAGTCACAGAAATAAAACTCTTTTTCAACTGTGAGGCTATTACAGTAACTTGTGATCCATTGTGAGAATTAAACAAGATATTTAAAAATTATAAAAGCTATCTAATGTAAGGTTAGTATGAACTCCCATCGGGATTACGGTAAAAACCCAACAGTTGTACCTATTCTCTTTCCGTTCCTGTCCTCTCTCTCTTGCACACCAGCGAACACCCTGACCTAACCCTTGCTTGGCTCAGTCCCTCAGCAGATGCACAGGGAGCAGTGCCTGCGGGTGGCACCCAGGCCCAGGTAACAGCAAATGGGAAGGCACACAGGGCAAGGCCTTCTTTGCTCTGCACACCTGAGCTGGGCCTGGGCCCAGGTCCTATCCCTGCAGGTGCT